GCGTGTGTTTCAGTCGTGCTGAAAGGACTAGGCCCGGGCAGCTTTGGGTTTAAAGGGAAGTAAAAACAAACTTGGGGAGGGCAAGACGTTTCTGGTCTTGAAGCTGGATTCCAGTAGCAGTTGCTTCAGAGCTAAATGATGTTTCCAGGGGGAGAAGTTGATCTTGTTGACAGAGGAAGGCCAAGCGACAAAATTGCTAAGTTTCAGTTGCTGAAAACTGAGAATGGTGTTCCTGGGGTTAGTAAACAGTGTCTGAGGTCTCTCGGATGTGTGGCTTGGCCATTAGCAAGCTGGTTCGGGTGCTTTCCTCTCCTGCTGCTGAAGGCAGGGAGAGAGCTTTGGGACTGGGTGTTCGTGAAGCGCTCGGGCAGCTGAAGGGGCTCGTCCTGTCTTGGCTCAGAAACGCTCTCGGGCATGTTTGGTGGCTGGGGGTGGAGGAAGGAAAACGTGCCTTGTGCCGTCTTTGCTCAAGAGTGGGTCCAGCTCTGGCCTCTCTGAAGGGCCTGTGACTGTTTGGTGGCAGGGCTGTATCTCAGTTCTAGGAAGTTTTGCTGTTGAGACAGGGATTTCTGAGCAGAATATCCAAAAATAGCTGTAAAATCTTCATCTCTGTCACGACACTTGTGAGAATAACTCTAGGCTGAAGTGAACCTAGTGCAGCAGACCAGAAACCAGACGTGGATCTTTCCAATCAAGGTCTAGCCCCCTCAGAAGTCCACTGTGTGACCTGGGAGCAGCTTTAATTGACTCGTTCCTTTGGTACCCCAGCCTGTGTTGTAACGAATATCACGCCAGCGATCTCGGCTGAAGCTGAACGATCACAGAAAGTGCTGGTCACTGGCCAACGTGTTGAAGTGAAGGAAAAACAAGGAAGTGGGGTGCAGTGGAAGCACGTTGGTCTTCCAGGTGCACCAAAGGTGTTTGCTTACATGCAAGAGGAGGTATTTTTCAGATCTCTTGCGGCTTATTCACATGCTCATAACTCTTCCTTCACGCCTGGCCTCATCCTGAGTTAATGCTGCTCGGACCTTTCTGGATGAAGCCGACGCACCAGGCAAGCGGTTCCCAGAGCGGGTTGGTAAGAGTGGGGCAGCTCGGGCCGCGCCAGCTGCGTGGGCCGCTTCCCCCCGCATCGCGCAGAGCTGTCCCCAGGAAACTTGGGATGCTGCCGAGGTCGTTGCTTAATCATCGCTCTCCCTGCGCGGGCCTGGAAGAGGAAGGAAGCATTCCTCCGTGCCTTCGGCAGGCTCTGCCCCAGGAAACCTGATCACGCTGTGCCTGGGTTGCTACTAGATATCTCTGGGCTGTTAGGAGTTTGTTTCCAGTGTGTTCCTGTATCTTTGGGGGGGGGGGAGGGGGGGGATATTCCTCCTTTTCCTGAATAGGTTTGGGAATGATTGGGTCTCGGGGTCTGTTCTGTAAAAATACTGTGGTTAGCGAGCATTTCCTGCTGGGCTTTTCTGGCCGTAACTTTGCTTACGTTTTCAAGCAGATGGGGAAGGGGAACTGGCAAAAAACAACTTTCCGTTTGTTGATTCTAGTCTTTATATGATCCTTGTCCGGTAGTCTACTTGGCCCTGTTAGCGCAGATAAATCTCTGCGCTCGCACTGCTTTGCAGCAACCTTGGGACTGGAGTATTAGAACAGAGAATGTGGTTAGTTTAAAACAAACAAAAAAAAGAAACAACAAAGAAAAGTGCTTTCTCTAGGCATGTGAACGGCTGTTTGAACTTTGGCTCCTGCTTAATGACCCCTGTTACTGGTGTCTTGATTTTTGTCTCTTATCCCTGACGCTGGGAGAGCCCCCTCCCAGCGCGCGCATCGCGTCCTGCAGGCTTGAGGAGCCGCGTGGTTCTGCGTCTGATCCTGTTGGCTTCCGCGGGGCTGCGTGGATTGAGGGAGCAGCCTGAGCCGACAGCAGAGATCGCGAGCGCTAGCCGGCTGAGCGACGAGGGGGGAAGAGGGCAACCGAAGCCACGCGGAGCTGCCCGGGAGGCATCGCTCTTGCACTAACGTCGTACAAAACCAGTAGCGTTTGCTGATGCTACAGCAGGCTCCCCGCCAAAGGGACGGGGCTTGGGAGGGAAGCGCAGCTTGCGCTCCTAGCCCGAGCAGCTCTGTCAGACCTGTGCTAGATGTGTTGAGGGGAGAAAACGGACAAATGAACTGAACTGAGGAACTTTAAGGCAGAACTGCAGCGTTTGGCTCCAACGCCGCCGCCTCCTGGCCGCCGGCTGGCGGGAGGGGAACAGTCGTGGAATCTGCTCGGCTACTGCATAAACAAGAGCAGCCTCCAGGCCTTGAGCAACGTCGAGGCCGACGCTCTCGTGCTGCCCCTTGCTAGAGCAGAGGCAGCGTGCCCCCCCCCGCCCCGGCTCCTGATCTCCAGTGGCGTAACGTGCCCCAGCCCGGGAGGGCTTCGCTGTGTCTCGGCGCGCAAGCGAGGCATCTGCTAGGACTGCTGACTCACTCCCAGCCTCGCTCGGCTGCGAGGATCCAGTTTGCCTGGCTCCTACACTAGTTTCTACCTACCAATTTGTTACTTCTTGAAGCACCTCCCAAATAAAGGCTCGGGAAGCAGAGCTGTCTGAATAGCTTGTAAGCCTCAGGAGGATGCTTGCCTCCCGTGTGCCAGGGAGGTGTTCCCCATGCTGCCTGCGGTGCGTGGGACACCTGCGCCTGTGAGTCACGGCTCGGGGTGGGGGGCGAAGGGCCCGTAACAAGGAGTGTGTTTTAGCTTAAGGCAGGAAGAGCTCACCTGCCGACGCTCAGCAGAACGCGTCTCAATAGACTCGGAAGGGCCCTGGATGAACGTGGAAGCGTTGCGCTGTGTGAACGTAGTGTGCTGACTGCTCTCTTCTCGTTCCAGGACCGCTGAGCGCATCAAACGCCTCTACTCCATCCCGAGCCCCTGCCCCTGCGAGAACTGGTCAGTGCCCTTACGGTTCTCTGGTTAGCGGGGTGCCCAGTGCTAGCAGGACCCAGGCCATGACCAGCAGAGGAGCCGCCAGGCCGAATGGTCAGTCCCAAGCTAGTAAAATCTGTCAGTTCAAGCTCGTACTGCTGGGCGAGTCGGCGGTGGGGAAATCCAGCCTGGTGCTGCGCTTCGTCAAGGGCCAGTTCCACGAGTACCAAGAGAGCACCATTGGGGGTGAGTAGGCAAGAGGCACCCCGTGTGTGTGTGCACGCATGCAGGGGACCCAAGCGTCCTTGACTGACGCTCTTGGGTGTCAGAGCTCCGGCAGCCAGCTGCGTCTGAATCTTTGCCCCACACCAGCTCTGTTTTTCTTTAACTATAGGTCAGCATTGTGCTTTTACCCCTTGCTCTGCAGCCACGTTACGTGGACTAGACACAGGCACGTGACTGTCAGTGCTCCTTGCAAGTCAAGCCTGGGCTCCAGCCACAGCCCCCACACCTCGGTGCTGTGGTCTCGCAGCAGCAAACGCTGACACCTTGGTGAATGTGGCGGCAACTCTCATCTGCAGTCAGCACAGGAGCCCTTGCTGATCCCCTGATAAGCATGCTGCTCACACAGAGCAGCAAGACTTTTTTTCAGCGGGTCTGAACGGTGGCCAGACTTGACATGACTAACAGACTCCTCCAGCTAGAGAGGCGATGTGGTCCCGGGAGCCAGCTGCAAGATCGGAGCGAGCCTGAGCTCACATCTCTTCTGGGCTTGGACCGAGCGGTGCGGGGAGGGCGTCCTGCTGGTCTGCATAGCCCCTGCCTGCAGCAGGGGTAGCTGACGCTGTGCTAACACCTTGTTTCCTCCTGACAGCGGCGTTTCTTACACAGTCTGTCTGCCTGGATGACACAACAGTAAAGTTTGAGATCTGGGATACGGCTGGCCAGGAAAGATATCACAGTCTGGCCCCGATGTATTACCGGGGGGCACAAGCCGCCATCGTGGTCTATGATATCACCAACCAGGTAAAGTCCCTTTCAAAGCTCCTCCGCTGCACAGCGTGGGGCACGTCAGTAAAAATTGCTCTGAAGCAAAGGCCTGTGCAATTTGGCAGGTGCTCGCTGCCCCTGCTGCGCAGCCACAGGTGGTCTCCCCCAAACCATTTCCCCTGCAGGGTGCTGCCGGGGAGGTGGGGACCCCGCTAGGTGCCTGCCTCGCAGTGCAGCGGTGGGACTAGCCTTGACTTCATCCCTCTGCTCTTAGGAAACGTTTGCACGGGCGAAGACATGGGTGAAAGAGTTGCAGAGACAAGCCAGCCCCAGCATCGTGATTGCCCTAGCAGGCAACAAGGCTGACCTGGCCAGCAAACGTATGGTGGAATATGAAGTAAGTGGCGAAGTCTGAGGCTCCTCTAGGTCTTTGTAAGCTGTTCTGCCTGTCCCGGACTTGAAAGCCCCTCAGTGCTGCAACAGAAGGTGTGCTGGGGCTCTGGGTGTGAAACACTCATCCGGGCACTCTCATCTCTTGCAGGAGGCACAGGCCTATGCAGATGACAATAGCCTATTGTTCATGGAGACGTCAGCCAAGACAGCGATGAATGTGAATGACCTCTTCTTGGCCATTGGTAAGGCTCCACAGAGCGGCTGGCGTGTGGGGGTCGCAGCGTGGCGGTGTGAGGCCATCTGCGTGGGGTGCGGGCTCTTCCGCAGCCACCAGGCGAGAGCTCTTTGAGAAGCTGGTGAGCCGAGAGGAGGTTGTTTCTGTCCTGCCCCCCTGCAAAGAGGGCTCCTCACAGCCAAACCGCAACTGTGCTTGGTGCGGAGCAGGCACTGGGATACTGCTAACAGGGCTGCTCAGCACCGAGTGTGGAACTGAAGCTCTGTTAACACAAGAGCAGCTCAAAAGAAGGCTGCTCTGTTGCTGGGAGAGCACGGAGCAAGAGCGTGGGCCTTGCTGGTGCGGTCGGGGTGACATCAGGGTCCCTGCAGCAGAGCCGAGCTTCAATACGAGCCAGCCTGGTTTGCCCACAGCTCTCGCCCCCTGTCTTGGAAGCAGGGATCCTGGCAGGTCCCTCTGTCTTTCCTGAAGCCCCCAGTGTGGCTCTGCAGCAGGATCAGGCCCCGAGGCAGGGGAACGTCCTGCAGCTGGACTAGCTCTCCCAGCATCTGGGGGCTGCCGCGGTAGCAGGGCGTTAGGAGCTGCCAGCCTGGGAGGCTGGAGCTATTTGATGCCTTCGGGGCTGGGGCAAGGCCCTGGGCTCGGTGCCCCCGTTGCGGCTGCGGGAGCGCGTTCCTGTTGCGTCGAGCGGCTCTTAACCGCACCGCTGCTCTGTTCCCCTCGGTCTCGCCTGTCTTCCCACTCCAGCTAAGAAGCTGCCAAAGAGCGAGCCCCAGAGCACGAGCGGAGCGGCAGGGAGAAACAGAGGCGTGGACCTTCACGAGCAAACCCAGCAGAACAAGAGCCAGTGTTGTAGCAACTAAAGGGTGGCGTTAGCCAGATGCCAGCGTGAGAGGAAGAGCTAAGATATAACCTCCATTCCCCCCCGTCCACCACACCTCACCTCCATAACGGCACACTGAGAAACCCGTCTGAACCAAAACCCTCCCGAGAGCTCCGTCTAACTGCACTTTTTAATGCTTCAAAACCACCACCAGACACCTGTTACCACCATCCTGATGACAGTGGAACTAGATCAGCCGGGGACTTAACTTCCAAAAACAAACTCTTCTTCACTTTGTATTATAGGTGCAAATAGCTACCTAATTCTGGTTTCTCCCTCCATCTTTCTCCCTGTCCCACCTCCCTCTTTGCTTTGGTAAATCTGTGTTCTCGGTCTTGTAACGTCTCTCCTTCTATCCTCCCCTTAGAGCTGGGGCGGGGAGAGACTCAAGGAGGTGGCAACATCATCCTTAGAGGTTCACTCTATGACGAACAAGTTGGAATCAGAGACTTCCAGAAAACGTGGTTTTTTTCTGAGGGGGCCTGTCATGAATTTATTTTTAATTTTTCTCCTGTTCCTTTTGTTTGGCTGTTCAGGGGGGAAAAGCTGCAGTGTCCTTAATTTCTTCCTAGGTGGCCTTTTTGCCGAAGGATCGGAAGTGCCTGGGAACTTTTTAGGGGGGGAGGGGGGAAGCGGGGAGACTACTGTAACCAGAAAGTCTGACCCCGAGCACTGATCGCTATGAAGTAACACAGATAACCCGTCAGCACTGCTACACCTTTGTGAACAGTCGTTGCATGTTAGCGCTATGAACACGACAGGAGCAGTATCCCTCCGGTGATCCCGCTGCGGCCGTGCCCTGCCGGCGGCCAGGGCGAGGGCGGCCGCCCCGGCCCTGCGGCGGTCTCGCTTGCAGTAACGAACCCGTCGGTCTCGTCTCTTGCTCTTTGGTTTGTCCCTTTCCTCCTCCAGACTAGCCGCAGCTGCATGAACTGTCTCTGGTTTGCACTTTAGTCATGGAAATGTCCAGTTAAGATGCACCTTGTTTTTCGGTTTTTTTCCCCTCTTGGTCCTGTTCAGTCTGAGCTCTCCGGAGGCTTGGGAGCAGCGGAGGGAGAAGGAGTCGTAGTGCTTATTTTTCTGCTTTCCCTAAGGAGCTTTCTCGGCTAGAGAAGCGGTCGCGGCAGCTCTGCGCGTCGGGCTGGGTGCAGGAGAGCTGGATGTTACCAGGTGGCGTCCGTCCGTCCCAGGAGAG